CCCCCATTTACTCCTGCGGTAACTGACATTAAGATCTTTATCTTACGAGTTAATTTTTTTTTTTACATACACGCCCTTTATATCGACATAGATCGAAGACTCACCGGGGGCCCTCGTGGCCTAGAGGGGCGTTCGCCTCTCATTCAAAGGTCCCGGGTTCGAATCCGGCTAGCGACGGGAAAATTTTCTTCTAAAAAATGGTCTCCTTTCACCTCCTTTCCTGCTCTCTAGCAATGTTCTATCGTCTGATTTCGTCTCCACTTTCTTATCCCACCCTCTCACCTCCAGTTTACAACCTTAATCCCATCCGTACTTAGTATTTTACTGTCATATCCATACAACGTGGGGAACTCTGTGCCCCCACTTTGCAAATCGAAGGTAACGTTTTTGCCCCTTGTTCAGTTCCTTTCAAAGACAAGGAGATTGTTTTCTTTATAACCAAACAAACATGCATACCAATGAAACCAAACTTCTTCTATAGGTAGGGTAATGGTGACTTTTGGTGCAGGTCAAGATTTCCGGAAACCCTCGAAATCTGGGTTAGCCCGCTTGTCCTTAAAAGCGACCGATCGGTAAATCTGTAGGAAATGCTCTTCGGTGGGTACTTAACCCTATCCATACGTCATGGTTTACTATCGTATCCATACTACGTGGGGAACTCTGTGCCACCACTTAACCCTATCCATACGTCGTGGTTTACTATCGTATCCATACGACATGGGGAACTCTGTGCCACCACTTAACCCTATCCATACGTCGTGGTTTACTATCGTATCCATACGACGTGGGGAACTCTGTGCCACCCCTTAACCCTATCCATACATCGTGGTTTACTATCGTATACATACGGCATGGGGAACTCTGTGCCACCACTTTCCAAAGAGGAAATTTACTCGTTAATCCTTTCCGTACGCTTTGCATAGCAGTCTGTCAAATTGATTTTTTGAGAAATACTAAAAGTTTCAAAGAGATCTTCGTACAAGAAGTATTCTAAAATGTGAAGTATACAACCCCGGAGGTACAAAATGACAACAGGCTCACGGATAGGGTTAAAGGTAAATACATGACATGTACACACAATGTATGCAGTAGGTATACGATAAGTGGTTTCATTCTATTACAATTTAATAGATGAAAATACAAAATGACCCCAGGGCGTACCGTTAACTCTTTACGGACGCATCGGACACATTTGTCTGACCAGACACGGAACAAAGGCAAAGTTGAAACTCATTTTGAACCTACGTACACAAACCAGAAACGCTAGATTGAACATTTCATCATTCTCCGGTGCCTTGCCGACTGGCGTGGGCGACCATGGACCTCCACTTCACCCTGTCCTTCGCTGCAGCAATGGTGTCTGTTGTT